TCGCCTGGGCCTGTTTACCACACCCTGGGCGACTAGAATAGGGGTGGACTTAACCCCCCAGCAGGCTAGCGGGGGCATGCTGGGAGTTGAAGTCCACACATCTTCAAGCTGCCAAGGTTGAGAAACACTGGCCTAGGCAAAAGGGGCTGAAACATTTTTTAAGTCCAGAATGAGATAACATTTGGCTCGGGCAGATGACTCCCTGATTCACTGAACTGTATGAAGAAGGAGGAAGTACAGCACAATCAGATGTGCAAGATTCTGTTATAGCCAATCTCAATAAAAGTAGTTTTAGCCCTCCTGTGGAACTGATTTCCCGGCCTGGTCCATCTTTTGGTGCTGATAGGACTGCCAGTCCAACTCTCAGTCTTTCCCTACCCTGCTATCTCTTAGATATGTTAGATTATAATGCCTATAATTCCCAGCCAACATGTCTACCTGGAGGCACCAGGTTGGAGAAGGCTGGCATTTTCACATCTCCCTTGTGACAGGATCACATATTAACCACTCCCTTTTTTGCTTTCAGTTATGAGTTAGCTATTAACGACTTAGAAGAGGCCTTGGCTCAACTACGGGGGAATGACGTAATAGATTACAAGATTCTAGGCCTGCAGTTTAGGTTGCTGGCTTGTGAGGTAAGTCTTCATTGGAAACTGCAGCCCACCAGCAAGAGGTCAAAGAATGATGTTTTAATTCAAGGCTATTCATTCAGGAGTGGACTTTTGGACAGGGGCTCAGTTCAATGCATAATACTCTGTTATACCAGGGAGAAGCAACGTTTTTGGGAACAGTGAGAGATTTGGATTTTTGAGGACATACTATATCCATTCCCATTAAATGGCTGCCACAGGAGAAGACTTGCCTGTTCACAAAATGGTTGCCACAAATGTCCATTTAGTAGATGGAAAACTAGTAAGGAATGAGTGGAGGCTAATCTCAGGACTGCCATCTCAACCTCTCCAGAATTTTATCTCAGCCTTTTTTTTTTTTTCTGAGCAGGAGGGCAAATTTCCCAGGAAAACTGGAAGCTGCCCACCATCTCCTTCTGTCTAAGCATGTCTTTGGTGTCAGGAGGAGGTGGGAGGAAGGCAGAAGCAGTCTGGTGGAGATGCTACTACTAGTTCATACCTTGCTTTGCAGCATGCCAGGTTCCCATTTTTTTAAAGAAAAAGTCTAAAAATCAGGTGGGCAGAGAACATTTCCAAAAGGGATGGAACTGGGCACTCTGCACACTTATTTCATACACTTTAATTGCATGCTTCAGCCCTTACTGTATTTACGGGTTCCTTATCTTATTGGAGTTCATCCTATTTTCAGTGACCTCAAAGTAACATACAGAGGTTGCCCCATTTGCTTTTACAACAGTTCTGTGAAGTAGGTACGTTAAAGGAGCAAGTTGAATGCACAATCAGCATTGACTTTGGGGGGTTTGAAAGCAGGCCTATTTGCTGCAGATCTGCAGAGTATCTATCATCATGATAGATGATATCATCTATCATCAGAGTCCCCTATTGTGGGGGAAATGGGTGGGGGAGAAATCCAATAAATAAAATAAAATAAATCAACCAGGTGCCCTCCAGAAACTGGGGGAAAGACAGGGAGAGAAAAGCAACCTAGAAAGAGAGAAGAGCCAGGGGAGAGATCTGGAGGAACCTCACAAGAAGGGCTGCACATTGGGGGGAAGTGGAACAGAGGAACATCTGTTTAACAAGATTTGGGATGAACAATGCAGTTCAGTTTTCCCTTATTTGTTGGACTAAAATTCCCAGAATTCAAGGCCTGCACTGTAATCCAGTACCTGTGGAAGGCGTCAGACTGGGAAAGGCTGTATTACCTTTTCCTGGTACTCAAAATTCATGAGATTTCTAAATAATTACAGTTAGTTCAGACCATATATTTCTGACATTCCTTCTCTTTACCTGCAGCTGTTATATAACATTGCTGTTGCCTATGCTAAGCTGGAAGACTGGAAAAAGGCTGAGGAGCATTTGAAAAGAGCAATAAAACAGAGGATGGGCTCCAAGCACAACAAGATAGATAGGGCTATGGAATCCATATTGGTAAGAAAATGTAAAAAGGGCCAATGAAAATGCATGAATTCTACCCCTTGGATGCTGTTGTGCACACTGACCACTGCTCTCATAGTTGTCTATTTGGTATCAGCCTGAAGGGGATCTTTATTACATATGTATGTGACTTACCCACACAGGGGATTAGAACCCTAACCAAGGATGGGATCATTGTGTCTTCAAAACTTGGCAGTGAGGAGAAGCAGCTTGAATAGACCATGTAGAAAATGAGATATTCCCTTGCTTCTGATTTCAACTCTTTGCTCTGGAGAGCCCCATAAAAATTGCTGAGCAGCCAAGAATGCATTCTGGTATTCCCTTTTCCATGCAACCTTTCAGTGTACAGTAGGTTCCTCTGAGTTCCTCTGCCTTAGGTTACTAGAATATAACACTGTCAAGCTCACTTCAAGAGAAAGCTGGATTTTCCCTCAGTTTAACACTCAAGGAATCTCAGCAGTGGGATAATTTTTAGAACCCAATTTACTCCACAGCTAATTAAAGCAGAGACTTTGTTACTAAGGACAAGGAAGTTGTTCTTTTGACTTAAAAGAGAAAAATGTCTAGATGGCCAGGAGGTGAATCTTTCTCAGGTTCTGAACATACCATTACGCCCATTTACAGTCTCTCCCTATTTCTAGGATTTTATGATTACACTAAGCATGGATGTAAGCCATCCAGGTACAAAAGTGGTGTGTGTGTGTGTGTGTGTGTGTGTGAAAGAGAGAGAGATAGGGAGGGAGAGGAGGAGGAGGAGGAGGAAGAGGAGGAAGACCTTGAAGAGCAGCCTGTTATGAGAGTCTATAAGGATTTAGAGCAAGAGTGCAGAATTGTTTTTCTGTGGGAAATTACATTCCATCAAGAGTAACCTGTTAGAGGTGCATGTTAATGACAGCAGCGTCTGCAGGGGGAATAAAAAAATTCAAGATGGTGGTCATGGCAATGTGATTGAAACCCTTTGTACATGCATGTGACATTGATGCACATACAAAAGAGGCAGGGCTGCTGCAATCATTATCTTGATTTTTTACCCTCCCTGCTCCCCACCACTGGTGGTGGGTGGATCAGAAGTACTGGTTGGCAGGTCCAGAGCCAAAGATGGCCAAAATTTGCTGCCTTGCAGAATTCTCTGGCCTTCTCTCCACTTCTGTCTGTGACATCCCATCATCTCATGAAATTTAGGTGGTACACTGGAGATTCTTTTCACCTGATTTAATATAAAAAAAGCATGGAATAAAGGATGTTGGAAGAAACTATGTTTTCATTTATTGGGTTGGGGAAACTGACTGATCCTTGTTTTAATTTTTGTCTTTGATATGTGCAGAAGCAAAGATTGTTTGAGCCCATAGTGATCCCTGAAGGAAAGTTATTTCGGCCAAATGAAAAGCAAGTGGCACAGCTGGAGAAGAAAGATTATTTAGGGAAAGCTATGGTATGAACTTAATTGCAACAAATATAGAATTAGTCAGATAATTTTGTTCTTGATATATTCCTGGAAAGGCTATTCAGATCATATTATAATAGTTTTGCCAGCTGATTGGAAATTAATATCCTCAACTGCTGTTGTGCCACTAACATTTTTAAATATAGCAATCAGCAAGTGATACTTCTTGTAGCACAGAGATTATCATTCTCACCTGTTGGTCAACAACTGATATTAATATAGATAAATCAATCAATCAATCAAACAGATTAGAGTTCCTCTTGAAGAATTCCGTGGAAAGACGGTGTTCCTGGAGTCAATGATAATTTCCTTTCATGATTAGGGTTAAAGTTAGGATTGCAAATAAAGTACACATTTTTAAAAAGTACACAAAAGGCAACTAAAATGAATGACAGATACTTGCAGGCAAGAGTTGTTGTTATTACATTTATATGTTATCCCTGGTCAAATTATATGTTTCTACAATTCCCTAAGTTAAAAAAAAAATGCATCTCTCATATTCATTGTTTTCTTATTTTGACTCTGTAAATCATTGAATATAAATAGTAAGCATGCATTCAAATTTAGAGGAAGATGCTGCATTTAAATTTGTACCATGAGGAAGTTGTATTAGTTGTGTTCATTGAAGACGTCATTGAAACATACCATTTATCCAGGGAGGACTTCACTTTTGCAGACAACTCTAGTAGTGTATAACCAAAAAAAAAAAAAAAAGTGAAAAAGACAATTGCAAATTTCTAATTTTTTACTTTTGTCTTCAACTTAAGATTGTCATCAGTTTCCAAGAATCTGAAACTGCTCTTGCAATACATTTTGATACAGCCTTAAATCCACCTGGATTATTGCATTTGCACTTTGGTTAATTTCTGCTGAAATTATTAAACATCCCACTAATATACTATAGAATCAATCCATTGTTCCTCCATTCATATATAGGGGCTTCCCTTATAATTGTACCCATCATATTCTAAGCCAGTATCCAGAGTCCACATCCCTGGGAAGACTTTTTAGTGATACTGGGGCCTTTAGAAGGATGCCCCACTTGAAGGAAATCTTCAACAGGGCGCTTTCTGCAGGTCTCACCATGAATACCTTTAACATCATGAGCAAATTCTGCTTTTCCCATGGCAGGACCCATATTCTGCAACAAATTGCTGTTGATTTTGAGACTGGCTGTCCTTGATACTCTTTAGGATGGGGTCTTAAGCATACTTAAACAGGTCTTTTCAACATTTCTGCATTTCATTTCAATACTTCTAAATATTTTAATAGTTTTCAAATGTTCCATATTATGCATGTATTCCTGTAAGCCCAGTAGAATTTTCTGTTATGTAGATATTCTTGTAAAATTGTTCAGGTTTCCTGGCATTAGGAATAGAGTTAGCTAAGAAACACAGAAGTTTATTTTTCATCATCACTGAAGTAAAGAATGTGTCCCTCAGTGCAGCATATTTTCAAGGATCAAAACAAGCAACCTCTGGGTTCTTAATACAGAACAAGTGACTGTGTGCAAATGCCAGATAACTATTTTATTATTTATCTCATGCCAGTGGTATAGTATCAGGATGCTCATTTGGGCAGGATGGGGGAATAACAGTGTTAGAATGCTTATAGTTTTGTCTTTTCTGGGTGAATAGAATGAGATAAAACAAGCTTTCCTTCCCATCCTAGGTCGTAGCATCTGTGATTGACAATGATGACTTTTCAGGTTTTGCTCCTCTTCAGCCCCAGGTAAGGCAGGTTCACTCTCTTGCTCAGTCCCACATTCTCCTTCCTGATTGTTCAGGTTCCCCCTTGGGCTCAAAATCCATTTGCAGCTATATTCCCAGAAGAATATGATCTGCCTCCATCTGCCTTTACTGCTCCTGCCATCATGCTTTCAATGTCCCATCCCACTGCTGAAAATTTAACTTATTTCCCAAGATGAAGTAGGTCACCTCATCAAGATGCTTCCTATTTTAAAAAACTGAGGTTTAAGGTAGGTTCTCTAGAACCCTGTCTGATTATGATTGCATCATTTGGAATAATTAACACTTTGACTCTTTAATTTTAGCCATTTAAAAATTCCATTTAATTAAATGGAATAATAAATTGTTTTCATTTTTAGTAGAACACAAGAAGTTTCAAAACTTTTAAGCATGCAAGAAGCAACAGAAATACTCTGTTATCAATATCATAAGATGGAAAACTAAAATAAACTTTCTGTAGCAAAGGCATATTTAGCATCATATTCAATTGCCAAAGAAATTGATTTTTATATGGAGGACCATTGCTTTTCTGAAGGGAGCTGGGAGACTTGAAACTTTTTTTTTTGTATTTTTTGTATTTTCGTATGTTTTAGGAGCTAGATATGGGTTAACTTTTCACCATACTTGAAAAACAAAAATTGTTACTAATTTGCTTCCTAGATGGGATGCGGGAAGGGGAAAAAAAATGCTACTTGCTCCATCAACATCCAAGCATCTGCCAACATGCTTGTGAAAGCAGTTTGCACATCAGTAGAATTAGACGTCGGCTTCCTCTTAAGGATCAGTTCATTCAGCCATTTCATTTTTGGACTACAACTCTGATAATCCATCAGAATGGCCATTTGTGACTGCACTGGGGATTATGGGAGTTGCTGTCCAAAATAACTGGAAGGAACCAGGTTTAGGAAGGCCGAGACAGTTACTTTCACAAATAGGTTCTCACATGGGCTACTCGCATTGATTTAGAGTAATCTGGAAGCACAAATGTTTCTTCTGCTTTAATTGCTTTTCATCACTGAATGTTCTTACTCATTATGTTCTTGCTGCATCCAACCTATTGCTTTTCCCTTTTGTGAACTGCAAAATTGTAGGCAATATCAGCCTGCTTTTATTGCCCTATGATACTGGTCATGTCAGTAGCAGGAAAAAAAGAACATCCATACATGTCCAGGCACTGATCAGGATGGGCCAGCACAGATCAAATGCTGGGATGCTCCGTGGTAATAGCAGCAGCTCCTCGGGCCATTCCTCAGGAGCCCCCCCCCCCCATTTCCCATACTGTTGATTTCATGCCCCAATGATAGCAAAGTTTGCTTGCTGCTGGATTAGACTGGCTTGTTGCCTTACTTATCTTTAATGTGGAGAGCACTATTGGGAAAATCCCCATACCATGTGAGCAGTCAGCCAGCTCAGGCCATATACTTCAGCAGGCTTTGCACATATGCATGTGATAATAAACTCATGAGATGCCTGTTAGGGTGGCAGTACTTGTCACTGCAGAGTTGTTTGAGTAGGTCACTGCAGTAATGGTCAGCAAGCAGTGATGAGACTTGAGAATAAGGTTTCTCAGCCTTGGCAACTTTAAGACGTGTGGACTTCAACCCTCAGAAATCCCCGGCCAGCATATGCTGGCCGGGGA